AGAGGGTGCCTCTGGGGAGTGGATGTAGGTCTGGTTTTGACCAAACCACTATAAATCTGGTGTCATTTATTTTTCGCTGCTTATTTACTTTTTGTGTTTAAAACTTTGTGGTTGAAAAAGTTTTCTAGAAAAATTCACAAACTAAAATTTTGTTTTCATTAAATTTTTAAAGAGGGTTAAAATTTTAATTACCAATTCACCCCCCTCTTGGTTAGCCTTGGGATATTTAATTAGGCTTAACATCCTAATTCTTATTGAACAAGTTTCAACAATAATTAATCCCCTAATGACTGGATCAATTTAGGCATGATATATATTGATCGTTCGGGACTATTAGAACAAAAATTAAATCTTAAAATCTTGCCTAAATTAGTATTGACAGCTATTTTATAAGATTGTAAAGGATCATCCTAGACGATCCAAAATCATCCAGTACGATTAGTTCAAAACTTAATCTTCTAGATTTGATTAGATCTCACTCCCTTGAGTGTGTGTGCGCATGGTCACCAAGCAAGCATACTCCCTTACATGACTTGACTCAATAAATAAAAAATTACATCAATGAATATTGTAGACCCTTTACAACATAATATTATTCAACCAAATCTTAATCTATGATTCTTTGTTTGATGTTACATGATATTCCTAAAATATTAGTATACACACAAACAAATATATAATAAAAAATACTATGAGATATAAAGATGTCTGTTATCATCAAAAATATAAAACACGTGAGCTCGAGTCGCAATAATCTCCCACTTTTTTATGATGGCAAACATTACTGGTGAAGTTTCAAACTAAAAGTATTTTTTCCTAACCCCCCCCTCCCCTCACAAGAATAAAAATTTTAAATTAGGAGAAGATAAAATTTTTGTTGTTTTTAATTTTAAAAAAAGATAAATACAACAGAACATTCTCCCCCTTTGACATTATCAAAAAGAGGAGGGGCACAAACAATTAGATTAATAAAAATGATTAAAAAACAAAATGATCCCTGATCTAGTGAAAATAAAAATAAAATATTCTTAAAATAAGAAAGTTATCGCTTGAGTTTATTTAAAAACTTAGTAAAGAATGTATTGACAACGCATAACCAAGAAAGGTTTGAAATTCAGAAATCGTTAATCCAAGTTCAAGTTCTTTTAAATACTCAAAATCTCCAATATCTAAATCAAGGAACAAATTAGAAAATGAAACATTACTATTTTTTTTTTCAAAATTCCTTTCATAATACATATCAAATATAAGATTGATGCAAAAATTGGTGAATTAGGAATCATGATTTTCAAGCTCAAGTATAAAAAATATCAAGGATTTTCTTAAGATTTAAGATATACAAGAAAGGTAAGCATTACTTTTTGTGGCCTCACTTTATGCCTCTTATCAATTTTTTGGTGCACTTTGCGCATCTTATAATTTTTGATACACTTTGTATATCTTTCTCAATTTTGGCGTCATTACGCATCTTTTAATTTGGCGTCATTAGCCACTTTCTTTTTAAATATGCTACATTTCCAAAATTAAAAAAAAAAGTAAACTCATTCTATTGAGAAAATGAACTACTTGATTTAGACAATTATGAGGTAGATTCAATAATTTGCAAAAGATCCCTATGCGATAGATAAAATGATCAGTTTCAAAATCTAATTTATAATATAATGAATATTTTGAATCAAAAGTATAATAACATCTTTAAGCAAAGAGATAGAGAGATAAAATCACGAGTTTCCTTTCTTTGAATATTTTTAGAGAAGTAAATCATAACTTACATATGAATTCATAAAAAATAGGAGGTATATTTTTTATTTTTAGAAAAATAAAATATGTGTGTTGATTAGAGAGAACTTCACAAAAAGAAAAAGTAAAGACAAATTTAAAATTATAACATAAAAAAAAAGAATGAAAATAAAAAAATAAATAAATAACCTAAAAAAAACACAAAAAACAAATGAAAAATACAATGAACTAAAACATGCATACACAAAATAAATAAACACACAAATAAGCGTTTAAACATAATCTTGCTCATGATCTGATGATTTAGAAGCAAGGTCTGTCTAGGAGATTTTTTGCTTTTCATTATTTGTTATTTTTATAATTTGCTTAGTTTTACCCTTTTCTTTTGTAGGAAGAGTTCTCAAATCAGGGCACTGATTTTTCATATGTCCAGGCTTCCTACATCCAAAGCAAACTAAGTCAGAAGAAATCTTAACATTCTTACCATTTTTACCTTTATTTCACTTTGTTGATGATTATGCTTTGGTGAGCTTTTAATTTGCTTGATAAGTCATAGCTTTAGTCACAAACTAAGTCACTTTTCTCTATGTTTTCAGAATTTAACACTATCATCTCACATGCATTCAAAAGTTTTTGGCTCAACCTTTGCTCGTAGGCAATGAGTGAGCAAATCAAATTATCAATATAATATTTATTCAAATTTTTTTATTCCTAAATAACAACTTTGGCAGCAAACTTATCAAGTAGACAACGTAGAATTTTATTGACTTTTTCAAAGTTTGAAAATTCTTTACCTAAAGTATGTAATGATGTCACAATTTGAATAAACATAGTATACATGTCTAAGATCGTCTCATAAGATTTCATGCAAAATAATTCATAATCATGCATTAAAGTATTCAACTTGGATTGCTTGATTTTACTAGTGTCTTCGTATATAGTGTGTAATTTATCCCAAATTTTCTTGACAGTAGTGCACGTGAATACAAACATATAATCTTCAGAATTTAAAGCACAAAAAAAAATAGTTTACGTATTTAGCATTCAATTGAGCATTGATTTGTTCTTCACTACTCCATTGATTAAAATGAATATTAGTTTTAATTCCATTTTTAACACGTGATAGTATAAAATAACCAGTTAAAATTATTTGCCACATTCAATAATCAATTAATTGCAAGAAAGTAGACATGCGAATTTTCCAAAAATCAAAAGTAATATTTTCAAATAAAGGTGGTCGGGTGATTGAATATCCTTCTGCAATATTACGATTACAAAAATTAGCCATGGATCGAATTTCAAAAAGTTTTAAAAACTAGATTTTATGAATCTCGCTCTGATACCACTTAAAAGCTCGTTACGGATGTTAAGCCCTTATGAACTAGTCCCAAAGCTAACTAAGATGGGAGATAAATTGGTATTTTAAAATCTTTCAATCAAAAACAAAAATGCAAACCAAACTAAAATTTACCACAAAGAAAAGTAAAATGCACAAATTAAATACGAAAATAATAAAGGAAAAAACACACAAGATTTATAGTGGTTCGATCAAACCTTAACCTACATCCACTCCTCGGATGTACCCTCTGAGTATTGCACTAAACTCAGTCTCTCATTTAGCCCCCACAGCTAGGCAGAGAAGCCCTTACAAAATCACTCCCACCTTCCCTAATGCGACGGAGTAGCAGGGTCCTTTGACACTAAAGAGATCTTCTTTTTCCCAAAACTTCCCTCAAGATAAGCCTTGAATCTGATGGTACTAAGGCACAAGCTTGCAGGAGCAACCACGTGAAACCTCCTCCACACTCCCTTGAAACCCCCTCCAAAGATCTTCTCCCTCTCTCAAACTCCACCCATTCCTCTCTCCCTTTCAAGCTCTCTCTTCAAGTTTTCTCCAGAAGAATTGAAACCTCAATGGCTGTCAAAGATGCTTTCAAGGTCTTTGACAAAGCTTGAATAGAAGAGCTCCAAAAAGGCTCTTAAATGTACCAAACAGACGATATCGTCCAAGACGATAGCGGGATTGTCCCGTATGATGCGCTTAAAAAGAGGGCTTCAGAAAACCCTAAAAACTCAATTTCGGTTCCAAATGCCATCCAGGACTATCGCAGGATCGTCCCGTACGATGCGCTTAAAAAGAGGACTTCAGAAAATTCTAAAAACTCAATTTCGGTGGCAAAAATCATCTTGGACGATCGCAGGATCGTCCAGTACAATGTATAGAATTTGACCTGATAGTCCCGGACGATATTAGGATAGTCCAGGACGACAGTACAAAATTGTACAGATCATCCAGGACAATATTGTGGATCATCCAGGACGATATTGTGGATCATGCAGGACGATTAGAAGAAAAATTATGGTAATTCGGCTTGGACGATTTAGGAAAATCCAGTATGTCGGCAAACATCGTTCTGTACGATATACAGATCTTCCATAACGATCAGATTGAAAATTTTAACCATAATTAATCCCCTAATCACAGGATCAATTTAGGAATGATTTGTATTGATCGTCCTAGACGATCAAGATCGTCCGAGATGATTAGAACAAAAATTAAATCTTAAAATCTTGCCTAAATTAGCATTGACGGCTATTTTCTAAGATCGTAAAGGATCATTCTAGACGATCCAAAATCATCCAGTACGATTAGTTCAAAACTTGATCTTTTGGATTTGACTAGATCTCACTCCCTTGAGTGTGTGTGTGCATGGTAACCAAGCAAGCATACTCCCTTACAGGACTTGACTCAATAAATCAAAAATTACATCAATGAATATTATAGACCCTTTACAACATAACATTATTCAATCAAATCTTGAGCTATGATTCTTTGTTAGATGTCGTATGGTATTCCTGAAATATTAGTATACACACAAACAAATATAGAATAAAAAATACTATGAGATATAAAGATGTTTGTTATCATCAAAAATATAAAACTCGTGAGCTCGAGTCGCAACAGGGATCATCCTTCTTTGTAACTAGGTTGCTGAACTCCACTAGCATCTCATTACTAGAAGTGGTGACAAGTTGCTTTTAAATTTGCTTCCCCCAAGAGGGAAGAGTCCTCTAAATCTGAGAGGTCATTTGCTCCCTAGGTGCTTTTGTGAGAAAAAAGTTCCTATCAAATTGCTTTGTTGAGTCGAGGTTGATCTAGTCTTAATTGCCGAGATCGATTTTGAGTTCTTCCCATTGGGACCCATTAAGTACCTGTGAAACACTTGAGAACGCATTTACAAGTAAAACAGATCCTTTTCTCAAGGTCATAATAATAGGAATGTTTCAAACAAAGGCATCAATGTTTAACTTTAAAAAAATTCCGTAAAGCAAATGGGGCCATTAAACCCCAAACAACAAATGTCCAATTAATGCTGAAATAATGAAAATATTTTTTTGAATCTTCATTCTTGAATGTTGCGTATGGGTCCTCTGAACCAATGCCTAGCACTGAATACCCAAGAAGAAAGAATAAAGATGAAGACTCCACCAACTGCAATTGGAGTGTAGTTGAGATTATCTTTTTTAATCGGATAAGCAACAGGGAGGGAGAAGAGGACTGTTATCACCGCCACCCAAATCACAGCAACCCAACCGCAGAAGATGCCCCAACGACCAAGGGAGAAAGGACCTGGAACAAATGATTGTCGACCCAATGTCACTCTGAAGAAGATGGGCAATGCATATGCAATGTAGAGCCCAATTGTTGCTATTGACACCATGGCTTGAAATGCAACCAGGCTTCCCAAAGACTGCAGTGTTTAAAAGATTTTTCATAGATCAATATTACGTTGCTTATTTTGTTATTATATAATGACTATGCTTCCTTTAACTAAAGAGTATGCTACAATTATATAATGACTCAATTTCTTATAGTTCAGAAAATTTTATTAGCTATATATTAACTGGAGTTTTGTTTAAGTACCGTTAAAGCCATGCAAAAAGAGACGGCCAAAGCAAGCCAAACTGCATTTCGTGGAACTTCCTCCTTGTTCACTTTGCACCACAATGATGAAAATGGCATTGCTCCATCCCTAGAAAACGCATAAGTCATCCTGGAATGAAAAAAACATATATTAATAATGGTTAGTTTAAACAAATTAAGAGAGCAAAAATGAATTTCCTAGTCCTAATTATTGAACCTGGAATTGCTAGTTACTGCACTCAAGCCACAAAAGAAAACTGCAATTGCGGCAAATCCTAAACAAATTATTCCTCCAACTCCACTTCCATATCTGTCCTTGAAGACAAGAAAAAAGACCTCTGCAATTGCATAGCCACCAGCATCATTGTCACTTCTTAGGAGATATGGAATGTCTCTCACTGTAAATGTGATACTAATCAAATAGATATAGCCAACAATGGTTGATATGGCGACCGAGTTGATTATTGCTTTTGGCCCATTTATATCTGCGTTCTTCGTTTCCTCTGACTGGTAATTTAATCATAAATTATTTCAAATATGATATGAACATGATAGAGAGAGAGAGAGACAGAGTGAGAGAGAGAGTTTAGCTTATAGTACCATATGAACAGATGCATCATATCCTCCCATAGAATATTGACTCATAAGGAGGCCAAGAACAAATATATAAAACTGGTTATGAATTCCTACATCATTTTCAGCATTGAAGTGTGCAAACACAAACTGGGGACTTGCTTTCTCAGTGGCCACCACAGGAATGAGGATCGTAAGCAGGAAAACACCTAATCAATGATTCATTATTAAGTTATTATTAACTAATTCAATCTGTTTAATAAATTTATTCTTGTCATTCAAAAGAACGATTAATGTGGAAGAAGTAATTAAGTAGCTAATAGGAAATCACCTATGACGTTCCAAATCGCACCCAACTGGCAGCAAAAGGAAACCCACTTAACAGAGATGCTGTTTATGGTTCCATGGATGATTAAGAAAACAGCATAACAGCCCAAAACAACATATTTAGAGGCCAAATATCCGCCTCCATTGGCTCCACCAGTGCTCAACAGAATGATCACTTGAACCATCTGTGCTAATGAGAAGTCTATACTAGTAGTTCCTGCCCACTGAAATTCACAAATTCTCTCTCAAGCTCTTTATTAATAGTCTACAAACCGGACATTAATTTTGAGATAAAAAACTCAAATTATAAGATTTTAACTAAGAAATAAAGTATATTTGGGCAAACGATGCATTTAAGGTGGGGCATAAAGGAGCACATTGGCCATTTAAAATTTTAATATATCTTCATAATTATTTTCTACTAATAAAGCCCTATTATTTGAAATTTTAAATTGTGAAAATCAAATTTGGGCCGTTGCTAAATACCTGCCCGACGATGTTGAACCTGCAGATGTATAAAAGAAACTGGTGAGAAATCCTTTGATTGATTACTTTGGTAAGTTAAGTTACTAAATAAAGCACAAAAAGAATTAATAGGAGGGATACATATATAGAACTAAATGACACATTACCATCCAGTGATCCAGGAGGCAAGGGGAGCCCAACGGGGGCCGGCGAGCTTGGCGCTCCAGTAGTAGAGGCCGCCGGCGGTGGGGTAGGCTGAGCATATCTCCGCCATAGATAACGCCACACAGCCGTTGAACAGTGAGACCAGCAGCCATCCTAATGTGGCTGAGACTGGTCCGCCATACCGAAGCCCTGTGTTGTACGTGGTTGTGATCCCAGTCAGAACCGATATGATGGAGAACGAGAAGGCAAAGTTCTCCAACATCCTTAATTCCCCCACAAATCACAAAGAGTTAGATAGATAGAAAACTAGATAAATAAACAGATTTGTTAAAATTGAAGATAATTATGTACGAGAGATGGCGCTTGAGCTCTTGCTTGTAGCCGAGCTGAGACAGCCGTGCTTTATCTGGGTCTTCCGCATCATCTATCTTCCTTTCCATCTCCAAACTTGATTTCATTTTCTATGAAAAAGTGATGAATTAAGCAAACGCCATTTCATCTTTTATATTTGCTGGAGAGCTGAATGACAGCAAGAGGCACTGACTTAGCAGAATAACACAATAGTTTCTAATGCTTGACTTTTTCTCATTATTAGCAATTTTTAGCACGTCTTTATTACTTTGTTTATTTGCTACAATGTGAAGGTGAAGAACAAGAGGAGGCAGAGCGAGTAGGTAGAATACCGACAATTGTTTTTAACAAGTTGTGAAAGTTGGAATAGGAAGAAGGAGAGGTTTATGGTTCTACTGGACCACCACGTGACACCGGACTTCCGCCAAATCACCACCCGACGCCGGAGTTCTACTAGACCACCACCTGGCTCCGGAGTTCTGCCGGACCACCGCATGACGCCAGAGTTTCACTGGAACACCGTCTTACTCCGGAGTTTTGCCAAACCACCACCAGACCACCGATTGAGACCCAAACTTTTGTCGGATAATCAAAAGAAATCAGAGTTCTACCAGACCACCGAATAACGCCCAAACTTTCGTCGAACCACCGCCTTACGACTATGGTCATTCAGACCCCTATCTCCTGCCAACTATGGTCCTTCCAACCTCCGTCGCATACAACGGTCCTTCCGATCTCCATCGCTAGAAAACAATCTTTCTGACCCCTGTCTCCTACCAACTACGGTCCTTTCGACCTCCATCGCCTATTACAACCCTTCCGACCACCATCACCAGGCAACAGTCTTTTTGACCCTTATCTCTTACCGACAATGGTCCTTCCGACCTCTGCTGCCTACTATGATCCTTCCGACCATCATCACGAGACAACGATCTTTCTAACCCCTGTCTCTTACCGACTATTTTCCTTCAAACCTTTGTCACTTATTATGGTCCTTCCGACCTCCATCATCGTACAACAGTCTTTCTAACCCATGTCTCCTGCTAATTACGGTCTTTCCAACCTCCGTTGCATACTACAGTCCTGCTAACCTCCATCCCTAGATAACAGTCTTTATAACCCCTATCTCCTGTCGACTAAGGTCCTTCCGACCTCCTGAAAGTTCGTCACGGATGTAAAGCCTTTGTGTACCAGTCCCGAGACTAACCAAGAGGGGGTGAATTGAATATTTAAAAAACTTCTTTAAGAAAAAGAAAATTTTTATATCTTACAACGAAAACAAAATAAATCAATAATAAAAATATTAATCAAAGATTTCACCCAAGCAGTTAATCGTAATAAAAATAAAGTACAGAAATAATAAATTAAAGAACAGACTAGATTTTTAGTGGTTCGATCCAACTTGACCTACGTCCACTCATCAGAGGCACCCTCCGAGTATTACACTAAACATTTAGTGACTCTCCTTTATCCCCCACAACTAGGCGGAGAAGCCTTTACAAAATCACTTCTACCTTCCCTGGTGAGGCGGAGTAGTCGAGTCCTTTGACACAAAAGAGATCTTCTTCTTCCCAAATCTTCTCTCAAGACGAACCTTCAATCTGATGGTACTAAAGTGCAAGCTTGCCGGAGCAACCGTGTGAAACCCCCTCTAGACTCCCTTGAAACCCCCTCCAAGGATCTTCTTCTTCTCTCAAACTCCATCCTTTTCTCTATCCCTTTCAAATTTTATCTTCAAGTTTTCTCCAGAAGAATGAAGCTTTAATGGCTGCCAAAGACACTTATCAAGTGCCTTGGAAAAGCTTAAATAGAGGGCTTTGAAAAATCCTAAAAATTAATCTTGGTGGAAAAAATCATTGAGGATGATGCGGGATCATCCCGTATGATGAGATCAAAAATAAAAATTCAAAAAACCCTAAAAACGGAATTTCGGTGCTAAATATGTTCCAAGATGATTGCAGGATCGTCCCGTACAATGTGCTTAAAAAGAGAGCTTCAAAAAACCCTAAAAACTCAATTTCTGAGCCAAATATAGTACTGGACGATCACATGATCGTCTAGTATGATGTACAAAATTTGACCTGATAGTCCCTAATGAGATCAAGATAGTTCAGGATGATCAGTACAAATTTGTACATATCGTCCGGGATGACATTGTGGATCGTCCTGGAGGATTAGAAGAAAAATTATGACATTTCGTCTTGCACAATTTAGAAAAATTAAGTATGTCGGCAAATATCATCCTATACGATATACAGATCATCTAGGACGATCTGATTGAAAAATTAAACTATAATTAGTCCCATAATTACATGATCAATTTAGGCATGATTTGTATTAATCGTACAGGATGATTAGAACAAAAATTGAATATTAAAATCTTGCCTAAATTATCATTGGCTACTATTTTTCAATATTATAAAGGATCATCCTAGGCGATCCAAAATCTTTCAATACGATTAGTTTAAAACTTAAACTTCTGATTTTGACTAGATCTCACTCTCCTGAGTGTGTGTGCGCATGGTCACCAAGCAAGCATACTTCTTTATAGGACTTAACTTAATAAATCAAAATCACATTAATAAATATTACAGACCCTTCAAAACATAACATTATTCAACCGAATCTTGAGCTCTAATTCTTTGTTTGATGTAGCACGGTATTCCTGAAATGTTAGTATACACATAAATAAATATATAATAAAGTATATTATGTGATATAAAGATATTTGTTATCATAAAAAATATTAAACTCATGAGATCGAGTCACAATAATCTTCCCCTTTTTTATGATGATAAAAATTATTGATGAAGTTGCAAACTAAAAGTATTTTCTCCTAAACTCTCCTTTATTAAGATAAAAATTTAAAAATAGGGGTGAAAAAACTTTTTTTTATTTATTTTAAAATAAAACAAGTAAAATAAAACAAATAAATAAAATAAATACAAAACAATAGTACGTTCTCCCCCTTTGATATTATCAAAAAGAAGAAGACCACATAAAACTAAAATAATTAAAAACTAACTAATAAAACATTAAACGATCCCTAATATGATGAAGAATATATCTTTAGAAGAATTAGTTTGAAAATTCAATTTTTTTTTAAATAAGAAAGTTACCTCTTGGTTTTATTCAAAACTTAATAAGGAATGTATTGACAACACATAACCCAAAAAGGTTAGAAATTCAGAAATTACTAATCCAAGCTCAACTTCTTTTAAAGGCTCAAAATTTTATTAATCCAATATCTAAATCAAGGAACAAATTAGAAAAAGAAATATTAATCTTTTCAAAACTTCTTTCATAAAATATATCTAATAAAAGATTAATGCAAAAATTGATGAATTAAAAATCAAGATTTTCAAACTCAAGTATCGAAGATATCAATAGAAAAATGGTTTTTTTAAGACTTAAGAAGTATAAAAAAGATAAGTTTACTTTTTGTGGGCTCATTTTTTGCCTCTTGTCAGTTATTTGGTGCACTTTGTGCATCGTTTGATTTTTGATACACTTTGCGTATCTTTCTAAATTTGGCATTATTGAAGTTGATTCAACAACTTGTAAAAGATCCCAAAGGGATAGAAAAAATATAGGGAGATGAAAATGTTCAATTTTAAAATTCAATTTATAATTTGATAAAATTTTTGAATTAAAAGTAAATTAGTCTCCTTAAGAAAAGAGATAGAGAGACAAAATTATGAGTTTCCTTCCTATAGCTATTTTTAGAGAAGTCAACCCTAACTTATGTAAAAATTCAAGAAAAATAGAAGGTAAATTTTTCATTTTTTAGAAAAAATGATCTTTAAAAAGATTTGATTTTCTAAAATATATTAGAAATAAGAAAAGTAATGTGTGTATTGATCAGAGAAAACCTCACAAAAAAAAAGTAAAGACAAATTTAAAATTTTAATATAATGAAAAGGAAAGAAAAAATAAACTCAAAGAAAACATAAAAAATAAACAAAAATACAACAAACAAAAATATGCATAAATAAATAAATAAACACACAAATAAGGATTTAAACATCATCTTGCTCCTAGTCTGATGATTCAGAAGCTAGGCCTACCTAAAAGATTTTTTGCTTTTTATTATTTGCCTTTTTTTCAATTTGATTAGCTTTACCCTTTTCTTTTACAGGAAGAGTTCTCAAATTAGAGTACTAATTTTTCATATGTCTAGGTTTCATGCATCCAAATCAAATAACGTTAGAACAAATCTTAACATTATTATCATTTTTACCTTTATTCCACTTTTATTGATGCTTATGCTTGTACTTTATTGGGCTTCCCAATTTGCTTGTTAATTCATCGCTTTCGCCACCAACTAAGCCACTTTTCTCCGTGTCTGTAGCTTTTAGTACTTTCGTTTCACATACACCCAAAAATCTTTAACCTAAACTTTACTCGTAGAAAATGAGCGAGCCAATCAAATTATTAATAGAATATTTATTCAAATTTTTTGATTTACAAATAGCAATAAATTTGGCATCAAACTTATTAAGTAGACAACATAGAATTTTATTGACTTTTTCAAAATTTGAAAATTCTTTACCTAAAGCATGCAATGATGTCACAATTTGAATAAACCTAATATATATGTCTAAAATTATCTCATAAGATTTATTGCAAAATAGTTCATAATCATACATTAAAAAGTTTAACCTGAATTGCTTGATCTCACAATTACCTTCGTATATAGTGTATAATTTATCTCAAATTTTCTTGCCAGTAGTGCACATAAATACTAATATATAATCTTCAGAATTTAAAGCACAGAAAAAATAGTTTAACAATTTAGCATTCAATTGAGCATTGATTCTTTCTTCCCTACTCTATTGATTAAAAAGGAATATCAATTTTAATTCCATCTATAACGCGTGATGGTTCAAAATAACCAGTTAGAATCATATGCTACATTTGATAATCAAATTATTGTAAGAAAGTAAACATGCAAATTTAAAAATAATCAAAAGTAATATTTTCAAATAAAGGTGGTATGATAATTGAATAACCTTTCATAATATTACGATTACAAAAATTAGCCATAGATCAAAATTCAAAAAGTTTTCAAACTTAATTTTATGAATCTCGCTATAATCCCACTTGAAAGTTTATCACGGATGTAAAGCCCTTGTGAACTAGTCCCGAGGCTAACCAAGAGAGGGGGTGAACTGGA